TTTTTTTATATTATAAAGAGATGCATGGAATCACTCAAATATAATTTCGATTTGCAATCGCTAATTTCTTCGAATTAGATTTTTAATTGATTTTTTTTTTTCACTATAGCTAAAATAAAATTAGCCGGAATATAAAAGAAAGAAGTTTTTTTACATTTAATAATCGAAATAATAAATTTAAAAAAATAATAAATAATTAAAATAAATTTTGTTGCAACGCATCGTTTTTGAATGTATTCCATGCATTGTTCAGTTCCATAAAAATTAATTTTGCAATATTTTCATTAGCTGTTCCTGCTTGCTAAAAAAAAAATAATAAAAAAAATATTAAAATCGAATATATAATCTATATTAATTTTTATTTTATAATTCTAAATTTTTTAATAATACCTTATCTGGATGCACTGCCAAACAAGCTTTTCTATAAGCTTTCTTTACATCTGCAGTAGTGACTAATTGATGCATTTCGCATCGTTGCCATCTATTAGCTTCTGACCATAAAACCATATGTAATGAAGAAAGAAGAGCTCTCAAATTACCTCTTTTTCCTTCTGTCCATTCAATAATTTTTAATCTATCCGGATCTATAATCTTGGCTGCTTCTATTTTTCTCATTTGATTTAGTGTTTTTGGATTGTTTTTTTCAATCTTTCGTGAATTAAAGAAATTGTATCCTTGACTATCTAATAGATCTTTGAAAACATCTCCATTTGATTTGTTAGTTTTACTGTTTGCGGTATTATTAGCAATATTAATATCATTAATTCTCTGTGTATTAGAATTCGAATGAATTGGTGTGCTAACAAAAACAGAAGTAGCTGATGGAATAGGGCTTCTTGCTGTTCCATTCCAGAGAGAGGTTAGTTCACTAGCTCCCAAAACAAGATTTGCAAAGAAATTTTTGTTTTGAACGTTCGAATTTCTTGGAAAATTTTCTTCAAATGAAGATTTATTATTCGATTTAGTGTTTTGCTCATTTCCTAGTAGATTGTTCACAGATTTTTTACCAAATGGATCAAATAAATCTTCGAGATTTTGCTTTGTAGTAGTCTGATTTTCATTCAAGAATAAATCATTCAAGTTATTATTACTATTATCGTTTTTAGTAATAGACTGATCGTAAAAAATTAATTATTCTGAATAGGATCAATAATAGGTACAGTATTTTTTGTTTCTTGCTGAAAAAAATTATTAAATTCCCCCAAGAGATCATTTTCTTTTTGATTAGAAAAGTTATTTAATTCCGGATTTGCTGCAATTTGCGCAATATTATTTTTATTACTATTATCTGATATTTCTAAATTTAACAAATCAGTTTCTTGTAATTTGAAATTATTTTTGGTTTTCTCCTTTACATTTTCTGCTGACTGTTGAGATACTTCTTGCTTTACATTTACTTTCTGACATATATTTAAGTAATTGTATTGTTCAGCAAAATTAGTAAATTCCATACTAGTTGTGGGACGTAATTGTTTTTTTAAAAATACATAACATGCATCTATGACATTACTAATCTATATGATAAATGATGACAAATATAATAAATATTATGAAATAATTTTTTTTTAAGATAATTTTTTTAAGATAATTTATTAAGATAATATTTCTGCATACCTGAAACATTGTAGCTGCTGATAAAAGAGAACACACTGTAATCTCTGTAATTCTTATTTTGCCAGTATACATGAAGTATATTAAGCATGCCATGGTTGTTGAATTGACACCTTGAAGTTTTATTCTAGATATTTGAGATTCTTTTAAGTCTCCTGTAAATATTGTCTAAAATATGATCAATAATCCAATGTAATTTTATATTTATTTGATACACATTTTGTATTTTTAAAATGATTTACCTTAAAGTATGGACTAGCAGCAGCTAGAATTATTTTGTGTGCGTGGAACAATTCTGATCCTATTTCTAATATAACATCAGTAAACATATGATGATCACGCATAATGAACATCATTTTCATAGCATCTTTAATATAATGAGCTATGTAAAAAGTCATGTTTCCAAGATCTTCATGATTTTCTATAGCATTTAGAACTTCATCTTCAATCATGAATGAAGAATTAGATTCAAGATTCTTGGAGTGAAAATTGTCTCTTTTTATACAACAATCATCCATTAAAGTAACTTATGAAAAAATCAAATTTATCAATAAAAAATTTATTATAAAAATTATATATAAATAAGCTTCATTCATAAATAACATTTTATCGACAAAATATTAATTATACTTACTGAAAAGATCAAAAAGTCATTGGCAGAACGAAGAAATATATGAATTACGGAAAAATTAACAGTTTCGATAGTATTTTCGACACATAGAATATATTTAGAAAGGGAGAAGAGATGCAGCTAAATAATCATAATTCGCGTTATTTATCATAAAGTGCTATTTATTGAATAAATTACTGACAATGTTTGATAATGCAAAAGTTAGATGAATAATGATATAACGATTATAATCTTAATATTGATTTATATTAAAATTCGCACGTATTAAAATTCTGCGCATTGATAATTTTGTCTTTATCTAAAATAAATATCAATGCATCAGTATTTGTTCTTGTGCATATATATTTTCAACACTTGTTGTATAACATCTACTTTAACATATTATTAAAGAACTATTAAGAACGGTTATTTTGAATAAATAATGTGCATTATAGTATCTATTCTTGCAGTTAATTTTGTGTTCTTGTGTACGACAAAAATTTAGGCGGCAGTGAATAAACGACGTAAAAGGAAATGATTGAAAAATAATTAATAATAATATTTATATGTCACTATAATCGTAAGTAATTCAATCTTGCCAAGATAAAAATAATAAAATAATAATATCTAAATTCTGGAATAAAAAATGAAATAAACATATAATAAGTAGAAGTTTAATTATAAAATAATAATATGATTGTATTTAATTTTCGATTATTTTATTTTTATAATCGAGCACATAAGTACTGGGCTTTTATTTTTGAAACTATTCACGTAATCAACACGATTAGTAATTTTTCTGAATCGCATTGTGTTATTTAAAAATTGTTTAATATAATTTTTAAAATTTAGTTAGGTTATATTTGTGTATTTTCATTTTATATAATTTCATAATTTAAAAACTTATCAGAGAGAATCTAACGAATAAAATATATATAAAAAATTACAAATATGGTTACGTTATATATATATATATATATATATATTAGTTTATAATTATGTTTAGGAAATTAAGTTAACGTTTACAAATTTGATAAAAGATAAAATATAGAAAAATGTTTTTTTTAAACAATATTTATATTTATTATATTTATTTTTAATAATGAGTTTTCAATAATAAAAAAAAACGAGGTAAGTTATATATCTAATACGCCAACAAATTATAAAAAAATTTTTATAA